TTTGCACTGTTTCCCACCTGGAGTCCATCCCATCCCTCGTGTTTCACACTGGGAAGGGGGAGGAGGGTGTGGGTGGCAGAGGTGCCCTCAGAGCGATGGTTTCTTCTCCTGCTGTACAGTTCCTGAGTCACTAGGCTTGTGACCATGACCAAAAAGCTCCCTGTCACTGAACTGGAAGCCAAATGACTCAGTTTTATTTTTCAGATGTTAAGACTGAAACCACAGACCAGTATGACTTGGTTTTTCCTTTATACTGGCGCTGTTCCAGCTCCTGTGTGTTAGGCTGGAGAGGACCAAGAGATGCTATACAGGTGCCTCTATTGCTCACCCGTTGTTCTAAACACCAGAGTGACCTGGTGGCCATTAAAACTCGGTTGACACTCTTCCCCCACCCCACAGATTTAGCCCTTCTGGCAGCATGGTTGCTGTGACTGAGCGGTACAGATCAAAAAGCGAGTCTCCCGGGCGGATGGATGAGCCCAAGCAGCCCAGTTCCCAGGTAGGCAGATCAAGAGGTTTGCAAGTAAATGTTGGCTTGAGGGTGAAGGTGTTGTGATGAAGTGTCATATCTGCTACCTGCAAGCAATGCTGTGTGTGGAACCAGGACCTTTTGCCGTGGCAGAGGGTTTAGCTGCTCACACTGACAACGTGTGCTGGCCCTGTGTGATTTAAAACTGATTCAGGCTGTTGTTTGGGAGTTTGGCCAGATACCTGGAAAATACCAGGAGCTTCTCTTGTTGTCTGAGGGCATGAATATCCACCCTGGTTCTGGGCAGGCCACCAACTCCTGAGGAGAAACCCCATTTGCCTACAGAGCTGGATCTGCCCTAAAACGCTGGCAGCAAATGCCTGAGCTGAGGGAGGAGGTGTGACTTGGCCTCTGTGGAAGACTGAGGGGTGACAACAGCTGAACCTTTCCATGCTAGTACCAAAACCATTCCAGAAAGCCTTCCAGGCACTGCACCAGTAAACCTTCAGGGTGGAGTGTCAAAGGGCATTTGTACAGAGGTCTCTGTCTCATGCCTAAGGGCTGCGTTGGGTAGCCGAATCTGCAATGTAAATGAGCTCTGAATTCTCTGTGTTCTTGGGCACAGTTTTGGGGCAGAAGGGAGAGAAACGGGAGGGCAGTGGGTTGTAGAGTGCAGCAAAGTGGGACACAGCAGTAGTAGCTGCTGTGCCTGATCATTTTGCTCTAATTTTTTGTTGCCTACAGTCAGTGTCGCAGTGGCACTGTAGAGCAAAGTGTGTCAGCCAGCACGGTGCAGAGCAGCTCTGGTGAGCCTGGCAGAGAGGCAATGTGTCAGTGCATAAGCAAACGACTTTGCTGGAGGCAGGTGAGGAGTTACCAGGCTGCTTTGCCCTTGAGTAAGACCAAGTGAAGCAAGGTGGGGGGGAAAAACATGATTTCTCTCTGCTGGCTTTGTAATACACTTCCATAAAACAACAGATACCTTTTTGTTCCCGTTTCACCAAAGCTTCGTTGCGTGTCCTCAGAAGTCATCAAGAAAATTTCAGGTCAAACTTACCCTCCAGGGGAAATGTGACATACAAAGCAATTTTAGCTCTGCCTACAGAAAAGCTGCTCTTATTTCTGCCTGGTGAGATGACCTCAAATGTAAAATCTCAAGCTTTACACACATGGGAAAGGCATTGCCGTACCCATACTGAAATAGCCTGCCCAGGGGTAGAGTGGAAAGAAGTACCAGAGCTCTGTGCATCTCCTTTAGCCCTGAGCAGCTTCCCTGTGCCTGTCCAGGCAGG